GATATTTTATTGATAAATATACTCTCAGCAAGACGTTGGAAAAAACACTGCGCTCGCATTTAGGAACTCGCCTGTTGCTCAACTTGGCTTATCATGAAGCCATTTCTTTGTCTCAATGAAACCATCAACAACTTGATAGGATCTTATGGAAATCCATTCGTGAATTCCATACAAAACAGTGAACACTATCTGATTAACTTTATGTATTAGAGCATTTAATAGTCGGTTTTCTGCACACATAACAAATTGGTAATGAAATTAGATAAGAGACGTTGATGTTGCATTTGGAGGAGGTCTTAGTCTTAATTCATACGTTCAGCAATTCAACTTTCGTTTTCCTCGAGGTTGCACAAAACTGCACCTCGCCTGCAACTCATTGCCCATTTGTTAATTAATTTTGATTAAATTTCAAAGTCCAGCAGAGACAGCTAGAGCGTATTAGATCTTGTCTATTATTCTCTCTGACCTCTGTCGCAATGGGAATTTGTCGCTAAACTTCTTCACCATTCCTTGTGCACTTAGAAGAAGTTGAAAACACCAGAAACTATCTATAAATCACTGTGAAAAAGTTGTCACCTTTGTGGGTATTACAAACATGGTAAATTAGTAAATATTTCACTATAATTACAAAGCAGAATGTTTGCTTGCCTTTGGCCTTCAAATTGATTTGTAACACTTAAATTCCTAATTAAACTGCACAGAGAGCAATTTTGTTGTAGGTATAGGACATGAGTTATTTTTCGTCACTCGCGAACAGTAAATTCATTGAATAATTGTGGAATTCTTTATCATTTTATTGGCATCCAACACGCGTTTGGTTACACAGAGTATAACTGAAATAAATTTATATTATGAGATTAATAACGAAATATTCACTGAGTCACGGAAATATTTATGAGAAAAGAAGTACATCAAAATTCAGTAAATTAATGGGCAGACTTTCATCGTAATTTTTTTCTGTTAGTCAAGTAGAAAGAAGTGAAAGAGCGACGGAATTCCGCAGAAGAGAGCCTTTTATTTTATGCTTCAGTCGCATATAACTTTTATCACTCATCATTCGACACTCTTCTTGGCGCAATATCACAACCATTAGAAGGGATAAATTGACCAAAAATCTCTGTATAATGTCCATGTTCTCATTTCAAGAATAACTGAGGAAATTCTCTCCCTCTCTTCAAGCCACTTGCTTGCAAAAATGTTAATAAAATAATTAAGGACAAGCATGGCAGAGTGTAATATTTGGCTAACCATTTGCCATTAGTAAACTATCTCATCCAGAACGGTTCAATTGCTTCATTATGCCACTGAAATAAATGGATTTCTCAAAGAGAAGAGAGCTCTTGCAAAAATATCTATTTCTTTCAAATATTAGCACTTGTAATGCCACAGTAAAAAGCCATATTTCACTTCAAACCACTGCAAATTGTCTGGCAATAGCGTGAAATACGCCGGAAAGGGGCAAAAAACTCTTGATGAAGATGGATGGGGAATAAGAAATCGAGTTTGCGAGACTGGATAAGCAAGTCCACCTGAAAATTATTGACGCAAGTTAAGTGGGTGATATTGACCTTTAGCTGTTTGGACAGACGAAAGACGAGCGATATCCAAGAGTGGTTTTCAACCATCGAAGCTCTCACGCTTGGTGCACGTTCCTGTGGTGCAACTCAGATGTTGTGGCATCACAAAGAGGAAAAGATTGTGATGCTGGATGGAAAATTTTGACCAAGCAATGATGCAAAAGAGGGCAAAAGGAAGTAAAGCTTATATATTTCATCTTAATTAAAAGAGACACAAGGATCTTCTCTAACTTCTGTTGTGGTTTGTTGTTAGTTTTGAGTACAAGTTGTTTCTTTTTATGACACTTTTGCCTTTGATGGTTCAACATTTCGGAACATTTGAAGGTAATATTACGTATTCTACGATATTTTCCGGTATGCACTAAATACCAGGAAGACTTTGAGTGTAACCCTTATGTAGAAATTGCGTAAAGTGTGTATAAATTTGTGCGATCGAGTGCGATAGGTTGGTATTAGCATAAACATATCTCTGAAGACATTAAACACGTTGCCCTTGATATTATTTTTGCGTGGAAAATTCTTCATCTAAGATGACTTGTCGCGACTCTTGCGACTGAAAAACTGGTAAGCGCGTAATTGAATTAATTTCGCATTAAGTCAATCGGATATTGCGAAAAGGCATATGGTGAAAAAATGCTGACTATCACGGTCAATTCTTGGAATAGAGACTGTGCCATGGATTAAAAAGTTGTCTTCCCTGTATTTCAGCGCATTTCACGAGTTCAAACTCTGCCATCACAACTCATGGGATGGGCTTCCAACCCACCGGAAGAGCTGCAATGTGTACATGTAATCACACAAAAAGCTCCGCTGAACAATGCGAGAGAATGCAGATTGAAAACCTTGTCCAAACGCGCGGCATACAGCAACTCTATCCATACGATATATTGTGGAATTTGCAGAGGAAAAAATTTCACACTCTCAGCGCTGTATTAAAAATAATTCAATGATATTTTATGCTAATAGAGCACCTGTCTTTCATATATTAGAAGCTCATTGCCGTAATTATTTGCACCACAAGTCTCGGTGTACTTTTATCACTACACCTCCAGGCACTTGTTCTTCGACAACCAGTATCTACCTTTTGCAGTGTAAACGGGAAGAGAGCTTTAGTTGGTAGGGAACACTTCAAGAGTGTTCTTAAATACTCCTATCGTGAAGAAACGAACAACATTTACGCGCAGGCAAAAAGCTACACATTATTTTAATTGCAATTTATTATTAATTTGCATTCAAACATCTGTCTTTTCCTTATAATTCGCTACAAATAATTGCACTCACTAGAAGCTCGCCCAGAGTTCTTTATGCACGCTGTTCTATTATTAAATTTGCCAATTACACAAATAGTTGCGAGGAAACACTATGAAATTGCTGTGCGGAGCTCCAGATGTGGCAAGGAATATTCTGAGAAAATGACTTTACATTTCTTGATGCCATGGGAAAAAGGGAGAAAGCTTTCGGAATTATTTTGCCATCATTTCTGTTTAATTGAATGAACAAGAAGAGCAGCTTTGTAGTGATTGAAGAGAAAATGAATAGGATTCTGTTGCATTTTCCGCCCATGTCTAACGACCATTTCGGAAAAAGAAGAGTTGTGGTATTTTGAAAGAATATGGAGAACTTTAGGGTATTGAGTGCCAAGTTTTCTTGTAGGAAATGCCATTGAATATCACTTTAGATTGGGCGGAATTTGTGGTGGAAGGGCCAAAATATGAGTTTATAAATTTAAATGGATTATAACACATGCCAAGAATCACAAACGTCTCAAGCTTACTTGGTTTATTGTGAGTTCCTCTAATAGAATTCAAATTTATTGGATTTATTCCTACTCTATCAACCTTCTAAATCATTGAGGAATTAATCACAGTGAATCCATAAATTTAAATTTCTCCTACAAGGTGATAATTTAATACTCTTGAATGCATTATTAATGCCTGCGTAATTGAATTATGTAAATAATTTCTGTTACACTTCAGCCACACCAGAAACCGTATAATTTTGATATGCGTACTCGATAAATGGGGGATCAATTTCTTACCTGGCTGGTCGTCTGGAGGGCTGATGGATTGGAAAAACAGGTCGTTGAGGCTTTTTCACTGTCGAAGGTATGACAAGTAGTGAGAGAGAAAATATGGGTTGGAATGAGTGGAGGCTTGAGGTCGATATTGATTTGATTTCAAAATAGTGCTAAGTACGTAATTAAGATTTATGGGAGTTTAAATCAGCAGGTGGTACCTGACACTCGCTCCTGGGTTGATTTTTCAATAATAAATCCACTGAATTTCAATGGAGGCATGAAAGAGAGATTTCAGCCGTGATATCTCACTCTTGAGCTCCGCATGAGAGTGATTTTGATCAATAGGCACTGCTCCAATTTGTAGCACTGCGAGTTTTGCCGCTGGAGCGACTCTGGCCCGGAGTGTGTGGGTGGGTTGCGTTTCCTCCTTGCTCGAGCAAGCAACGGTTGGAGCCCTAATGCCACTGGAGAGCGCAATATTGGTCACACAAGCGGAACATGAGACATTGGTCACACAGAAACACATTATTATTAACAATGTAAAAGTGCCCATTTATGGATCGCTTGAACAATTATACTACAATTATGTCGGGTGGTGTGTTGGGCACAAGAAAAACGTCGATTTCCAATCAAAATTCCTTGCGTCACCTTACCTGGACTGCTGCACATGGGTTGCGACAAAGATATCCAATATCACGCTGATGTGAGATATCTCTTCTCCCTCCAACAGACAAACATGTAGTCAAGGAAGAATTCGGTGTACCAAATAACATCTCAATGTCGATTTCTTCCTGAGGATATTGTCCCATTTTTCATTAGGAAATGCTTCACTCATTAGAGTTCTTGCGAAAAATTAAACCATTTTCTCACTCAACAATAGTTTTATGTGTGATAAACTAGTAATACCCATTTATTGGTTTCTATGGTGCAATACATGTCCGATTGTAGGTATTTTTTACTCTCCCTCAACACTCTTCATGTCTCTAAATCCCGCTTGGTAAACTGTACGCGGTGAGCACGACTTTTGTATCTGTTATATAAAGTAATTAAAATTCTTGAAATTGCTCGTAATTACAACAATACAACGCGGAATATGTGGTTCAAGTTTGGGGGAATTGTGAGCTGCTAAACTTCCTCCTGCCTCCATGTCTCTCTTGCACTCTGGGTGGAGGTGTGCAGTCTCACCTCTCAATGAGTGTGTGGCGGCGAAAGCAAGGTCATGGGTTTTGGTGGAGCCGGCCAGCACGATCAAGAGGCGCGCATACACACACGCGCGCGCGCGAGAGACTCCACCTGAAGACAAGACTCCAGGTGCGCGCCCCCCACCGCGGAGCGAGACGGAGCTCTTGGTGCGAGGAAGTCGGCAATCGTTGGTGGAGATCGTGATCAACTTTGGGTATATAATGCAAGCCTGCCCGATGGTTCAGCACAGTTCACTAACAGTCCTAGACTCCAACGAATCTAGGAGGTTACCAAGAGCAGTTTTTCTCAACCAACAGGGACCGAGAATCGCATAAAATCATCATGAAGGCATTTGTAAGTATCCCGAGGAGAGTGCCTCGAGCTAAGCGCCCCGCAGATTTCGAGGATTATGTGAAGATCTCATTAAGCGAGACGCAGTGTGATTGTACAAGACGTAATCCGTCGCGAGTGTTGTAATAAGGAAAAGTGGTCTATTTCAGTGAAATTGCACAGTGCGTAGCATCATCCGCCCGGTGGATGCATAAGAGTGATAATAATTTAACTGCGTCATTAGCATAATTGCCTGCACTCTCGCCGTTAAGAAAATTGTGTGGCAAATGAGTGATAATGTGCCCCATTGCAGATTGTGGCAGCTCTCTTCGTTGTGGCGTGCACAGCCACCCCCTACGCTGGCCTGTCATCCCAGTACCACACGCAGGATGGCCATGGCAACTACGCCTACGGCTATGCGGACCCCAACTCCCAGAAGCACGAGGAGTCCTCCCATGGTTTCACCCGCGGTGCCTACAGCTACGTTGATGGACATGGAATCCTCCAGTCCGTCCACTACACCGCCGATCCTCACCATGGCAAGTCCGCCTGGACTGCAACCAGCGGCGATCCTTGCTAATGTCTCGATTTCTGTGTTGCAGGTTTCCAAGTTGCCGCCACAAATCTGCCCAAGGGACCAGCTCCCGCTCTGTACCACGCCCCTGCTCACCACGTCTACGCCGGCCCATGGGTGCACGCCGGACTCGGCTACCAGGGTGGTCCCCTCGAGACCCCTGAGGTTGCTCACGCCAAGGCTGCCCACTTCGCCGCCCATGCCGCTGCCCGCTCTGGCCTCCACCACCTGTACAAGCGCTCTGCCCACTGGGGAGGATACCACGTGCCCGTGATCCACAACGGAGTGCCCGTTGAGACCCCTGAAGTGCAGGCTGCCAAGGCTGAACACGCTGCCGCCCATGCCAAGGTTGGAGGACACTACGCCTACGCCCCAGTCCATCACGGAGGATATGCCCCACTCGCTCCCAACGGTGTTGTCCTGGATACCCCCGAAATCGCCGCCGCCAAGGCTGCCCACTTCGCCGCTCACGCCGCTGCTGGTGGTCACGCTTACGCCCCCGCTCACTATGCCGCTTCTCACCACCATGCCGGACCCGTGGACACACCCGAGGTGCAGCACGCTAAGGCCCTCCACTTCGCCGCCGTGGCCGAGGCCCAGAGCAAGTCCGGATACAGCCACGATGATGGTCACTACGATGGTCACTACGATGGCCGCTGGGACGATGGACACTACGATGGTCGCTGGGATGGACACCACGGTGCCTGGACGCACGCCGCCGCTGCCCACCATGTGCCCGTGATCCACAATGGTGTCCCCGTTGAGACTCCTGAGGTGCAGCACGCCAAGGCGGCGCATTATGCCGCCCACGCCGAAGCCTCGGCGCGTGCCTACCATCACTAAGGTGCACCTTAGATAACTGCTGAGCTGTCGGACGAAGAGTTTCCACCAAGCCCTGGGAAGCTTCGCCACCAAAAATACGAGATGAAAGAACCAATTTGAATAAAACTGCCGAATTTTACCATCCTTTCGAAGAAAATCCGTATATTTTCACTATTATGACTGATCTACGTCGACCCTGCTCTGATCTTGGACTCCATCTCACTCCATCTGCTCTACCGTCTTCCACACACATGCACTCTACATATATTTCGTCCATAACTTATCTAGTGATATAAATAAATCCTCTGCCAGAGGTGAAAACCTCGAGGAGCACCTCGTGGGATAGGACACACGCCCATGCAGTGCCCCTTGCGCTGCCATGAGGAAGCAAAAGACATACGTAAGAGATCTATTAAAAGATACTGCGATGGAATAAAGAGACGAAACTCAAGCTGAAGAATTTTTGTTATTAATTGAGACCACTCCCTGTGCTGTATTGTGTTCTCTCCTCCACAAGCATTTCTTTCATCTGCTCGTGGCCAACAATTAGATCGCGCGGTTTGCAACACTGCAGTGTTGAATATTTAAGGCAATTGCAGTGCAATTGAGATGTGTGCGCCTGTGTGCGGAATGATTAGGGAATTTAATAATTCACCTATATAAGCGTGGCATAAATTGAGGTTTCTGCACACAAGCACGACGATGCAAAATTATGCAATTTGGCGCATGGTTCAGTTACTCTGGGCAGGAATTTTATGTGATATTGCACAAAACTGATTTATAAACGATGTAATCCGATTAATCTCTATCTGGTCAAGTCGCACACAATAAAACACTCGAGGGGTTGAGCTTGGAATCCCATTTGGCACAATATCACAGCCACTTCTTGTTCGGAAACTTTTGAAATAGCAGCCACTCTGGGGATTCTTTGTTGTCTTGACCCATTGTTGAATAAATTAATTCAATTCTCGGCTTTATTCAGGGTATCATATGGCATTTGCGAATGAGCGCTGAAGAGGAGAGCTTAAAGCTTCGTTATCCAGAACATCACTAAGTATTCAAGGAGGCTCTGAAGTCATTTTTTAGGGGAATTTTAGTTCCAGAAAAAACAACTACATAATGCATTTCTGTTCGATTGCTGAAAATTACACCTTTTCATGTCTGTTCTATTGCTCTGTCTTCGAAGAATGCGGCTGATTGAAAGGTGTGATGGAAAAGAATGAGAGAAAATGAAATTCATTGTGAAGTTAAACGCACATTTTACGCATTCTTTCGTGATATTCATTAGAAAACCACAAAGAAATCAGTGAAATTGCTAGTTTCTCTCAATTTTCGTATTGAGAAAGATCACATACTCAATTGCTACACTAAATGCAAAAGCTCTCATTTTTTGCCCTCCACCGTCAATTATGTAAAAATACCGAAATCAAATGGAATGCTGTGGTGTGAATATTTCATTGGCTTCCCACAATTTTATTTTTACATTTGAGAATATCACAGATTTCGGACAGAACCTTCAAAACTAATCCAACATTCTGTGCCGTTCAACTTCCTTGTCAGCAAAGTGATATTCTTGAAAATCCACGAAAACAGCAAAATTGCATCTCGTAATGGTCACATGCTCACCTCTCGATAAGAGCGAACCACTAAAATATTCCACTGCAGGCCGTGTCTGAGAAGCACTCTGAAATCATGTGTTGCTGGGCGAGGAAAAAGAACGTAGTGACGCCAAAACATTTAAGATCATTATAAAGTCACTTTTATTGTTATTTGCCGTCTCGGCATGTCTCGATGAGCGCGTGAGATTATCATTGAATTTGCATCGAGCTCTTGGCATTGCGAGAGATTGAGATCACGCTAATGTACCGTTTCAAAATGAAATGAATAAATAAAATATTGGAGCAGGTAATCAAGGTTAGTCACTTGGCGGTTTCGCTTCACTTTTCATCTGGCGGGCAAATTGCTGCCGATGCCTTTATGCACTTCATTCACTTTCTGCTCAAGTCAACCATCAACGGTGATCTCACGACAGTTCCTAATTCCTCATTCACTGCCCCAGTTTGTTATGCACTCTTGCAGCTCACAGATATTGTTACTCAGTCACAAATTGTAACCTGTGTATTGCGGAAGACTTAAAGACTCCGCAATTCAAACACTTTACGCAATCACGCAGATAAGTAATAAGATAAAGTATTAAATTACAATTGTAACCGAAATTCTCCGTATGGAGCATATAATCTGCCAAATTAAATCCCCAGGCCAACGGTGAATGATAAGGGAAAAGGGCTTAATTCTGGCGTAGACAAAAGAAGACAAATCTCCTTCGTGAAGCTATGCCACAGTTCGAGACGTCAATGTGGGGAGAATTTGGGGAAGACGCAACTTGAAAAGAGCGAACAAGGGAGTCTTAGGACGAAATTATTGCAACTTTTCCTTTGTATCACAAACTCCCCTCAAAGTTACCGATTACTGCGTCATGTGGCTTCTGAAGGTGAATGGCTGCCCAATATTTAGCGATAAAATACTGCGGGGAATCTGTTGAAAGATTGAGAAATTGCTCGATGGTGAAGAAAACGCCCCTGAGGAACTTTATCTGTGAGTAAGACGGGGAGACTATCGACTTGTGTCCTGACATAGCCCAGATTTCCTTTCAGGATGGGAGGAAATATGATTCACATCTTTATCGCATGACAATGATTTTCATCATGCAAGAGATGCGAGAAGAAAGCCCACAACTTGTTTCGATAACACCTTCCAATGTGGTTTGTGTGGTTTATGTGGTGCGATGGTTGGGCGCGTACACAATGATCGGGGATGTCACTAATGATAGATTTCCGAGAAGATCAAACAAACATTCTTCGCACATAGTACAATTGACGAGGGAGGGAAACCGAGTGGAATCGTATAATATTGCCAACTTGCCAACGCTTTTTTCAATTCAACCTCACAAAGTATTCTCTTCAGCGATATTTAAAAGGAAAAAATAGGCAAGTATTGAAGATTTGAGAAACGGCTATGAATTTAAAACATACAATTTACGTAGTGATATTCTGTTTTCTGTTTTATGTATTTCACAAATTATTTTTCCACATACATAATTATGAAAAAATATTACATTTTGCTCCTAATTTTGGACCGCCGCACCTGCCTAGGCATCTTCAGTTCACATGTGCGTTTGGAGTATTGCGCAGTGTATGGTCGACAAGACACACTTAATCCAATAATATTACGTGCCACCCTTTAACTTCTTTGCCTCTTTGTCATCCCCATTGTTTCTTCCTGACTTCCTCAAATACTTTTTCTGCCTCAGGGGGGAAAAATGCTTTCCGCAGATATGAAGTTTACATGTGTTACAACGCCTGAAGTGGATTGTCCTTTGCAGTTTTCAGGGTGAGCAATATATAGGGTTGTGAAATCGTGTGAGTAAGCAAAAGAAGTGGAGAAACCGGAAGGAGTAAACAAAAATATCCACCTGATTTTTTTCGTCACGCTTTACAGCTCCAATCGCAATGAAGTGGGTATTTCTTGTCTCTTCATTTTCACTTGTTACACTTATCCCAGTGATTACTTTTATTGCACCATTCTCCATCACTTTCACGGATGAGCAGAGAAAACGTGTGGAGGAACTTCGTGCGAGACAACCATTCTTGGGGTGTTGTATTAAATTCGCTTTTCGTACAACTTTGTGAAAATTGTGAAAAAGGGGAGATAAAAGAGAGCTTTTCAAAGGTTTGCTAAAGATTCTTAAAGTCATGGTAGATTTAGTGTTCCATTTTCAGTGAAAGCCTTGCAAAATTAAATGATTAAAAGTGCTCTAAAAATACATTTCCAATTTTCTTGTTTATCCTTGCGTCTTTTCTCCCCAGCTCGTCATCATTCGCATATGTATCTCTTTGGGAAACTCAAGGGAGAAACCTCGTCGCATACCAGCTCAATGACAAGGAACAAAACAAGGGCGGCTTGTACAATTCTCTGATTTTATTACACATTTATTTCCATATAATAACTTTTTCCGTGGAACTTCAAGCAAAGTCACTACGGGACGAGGGGCTCAGAGAGAGATTTTCCATATTAATTCCGTTTTGTTGCCGTCGTTGTCATCATCAGTTCGACTGGGGAGGCGGAATGATTGCGGCGCGAATGGGGATGCTGATGTGACTCAGTGTGGTTGATTTTAATTGAAATTACACCATTGTCCTATTCATTGTGGCCGTTGCTGCTCCTCTGCTCGGGATCCTGGGACTGCTCCCGGTCCTCTGATCGTCTCTCGCTGGACTGCTGAGCGGCCGCCAGGCGGTCGATGGCCTCTCGGTGGGCCTGGAGATGCTCTTGCCGCGCTGCGGCAATCTCCGGCGAGTCGGCAATTGGGGCTGGTTTTGGCAAATTTGTGGCCGCCACACGGAAGCCGAGGCCATCCGACACATAATTCACAGATTGCAGTTTTCCTGGATGCACAATTCAGTTAGCGAGATTAGCGTACAACATCGACGTGGCTCGATAAACAATCTCCCTGGAGAGATGGCATCGCACTCACCGTGGCTGTCGATGTAGCTGTATGCGCCCCGTGTAACTCCGTCAGCGGTCTTCAGCTCACTCTTGGAGCTGTGCTGATTGGCATATCCATAGTGATACTGGCCGAGTTGGTCTTGGGAATGATACTGAGATGCTGAAGGAACAGCAATTGATGATGGGAGAATGGAATATGGGCTGAAATGCAAGAAAATCAATTTCCATGTCAGCAGCACGAATTAATGTTCAGCAAATTTAATTAAAGACACATGAACTTAATGAATAGGGAGAGAGATAAGAAAATTGATTTGGATATAATTTACATCCCCAATTAAATCCTTCCCTATCAATTATAGGCATCGCATCATATTTCTGAAGCCTCATGAATGTTTCGCGCATTTCACAGCAAAGAGGAAACAGTTCATCCATACAGATTAGAAACTTACGACTGTGAAACATCGATGATTTAATTTAGGATGAGCGATAGGCAAACATCTCTAATTTTGAATGCTGTTGGCTTCGTAAATCTAATTATATTGCTTAAAAGATCGATTTAATTTCAGGTCGAGTTTTTCGATTCTGATTGAATTTCTCACTCGAATTTATTCTACAGAGAATATTTCTTCACTTCCTTGAAAGAATTCTTTAAATAATAAAATGGTGTCTCTCTCAATTTTCACAATTATGAACTTTAGGTCAAGCAGAAGTGAGAGCTTTTAGAGACTTTGTGCTCACTTAATTTCGTTCACTTGGCTCACAATTTCCACTTCACTAAAAGAACCTTGACCCACAAAGAAAACTTGCTCTCCTGGCAGTTTAGTTAATTCAAACATCCCCACTAATTGACGTGAATACAGAGCAGGATAAATACGAGCTCAAGGGGAATTTGTGTCGAGCTCCTTGGGAATTGCGCCACTTTCTTACAGACCTCCAGTGATAGAGGATGGGCAGCGAAGGGGATGGCGTTGTGGGTTCGGGTCCATTGGGGCGATCGTCCTCCTCGGGTTCGCGGGCTCCATTGCCGGTGTCTTGACCTTCGTGACCGGGTCGGTGGTGTTTCGTGTCCGTGGGGCCGTATGACAACACGACGCCGTGATTTGTGGTATAATGAGGATATGTGAGAGCGTAGGGGCTGCTGAGGACATACGAGTAGGGGTGGCTGTAGTATATGGTGGCTGCGTCGAGCGTGGACAGTGCCAAAACTACAAGGATTAACACCTATAAGAAGAAACAGTCCTCTAATGAGTTCCGTCGTCTGAATGGTGGAGAAAATTGTGCGTTGACTCCCAAATAAATCCAATGAAATGAGAATTGCACGAGCACAAGAGCAGCCAATCTTCACTTACTGCCTTCATGATTGCACGTGATTTCTTCTGTGATGAGACACTGATCACGGATTTGAGACACTGACTGGTCTCGCATCCGCTTGGGTGTCATTTATATACCTTGGGGTTTCCTGGGTGGATGAGAATGCTTTGCTGGGCCGCAGAACTGATTCGCATGCAAGACGAGTAGGTGATGCAATTTGCATCGTGTTCTGGGCTGCATTCTTGGTTCTGGTCTGATTTTCTCGTGCGATTTTCCTCTCAATACCACAAGGTACACCTTCGGCTCTGGCAAGCTGATCCATCCATAAATATACACCTCATTACTTAATAACTACCACCACACATCCCACCCTGCGGCTGCGACTGGCTTAAATGGCAATGCGATACTCTGTTCCACGACACATTTAAATAAATGCATCTCCATTTACATTTTCAATAAAAATAATTATTGCACACTGAATCGAATTACTTTTGATGCTATTTCATATTGAAACCCTTTCGATTTCAAGACACTTCTCCATAAAGTATCAGTTCTGCACTGTATTTTTTATCCATAATGTGTCGCACAACTAATGAGTAGAGTTGTTTGTCATTTATTTCAGTCTTATTAATTTATGCCGTCTGTCTCTGAGTCGTTTTTACATCTCTACTGTATTGAAAACAATGACACATACCTCAGATGACAGCCGACAAAAAAGCTCATGGAATTTCTTGATAAGCACAGACAGTTTGTTGAGGAAGCACATAAACAGGTCATTCGCTATAGATAAGTGGAATGCTAATTATCTGTCTCTTGAACTATCAATCTAAGCAGATTTGAATATTTAATGAAATTAGTACACTATTGATTAAGGATTTATAATTAATTATTGGGTATAGTCGACTGGATTCGAAATCGATCCAAATTGCTTTAGTCAGTGTATTGCCAGGAGCTTGTAAGTCTTCTGAGAACTCAGCAGACTGGAGAAAACTGAATTAGATATGGAGTTTAATATGTGGTCAATTGCCCTTTAATTGGGTGAATATTAGCAAAATCGTCTATGAGGATGATTTAAGTGCTTAAATGGAGACGAGAAGCGCTGTTTGTATTGCCAAAAGAAGATAATTTACCTACTGAAGAGGAAATATGTGAAAAAAAGGGTTGTTTTAGCCATGTTTTATCCTTCACTTCAAAGACGTTCTGAGACAATTTAGCCATTGTGTGGAAGATGTCGACTTTTGTTTGTGGGCAGTCATTAAACATCAGTTGGAAGTTGAAGAATATATCGACTTCATGGGGGAATATTGCTGATGGAGGTCATTTGATGGTGAATGAGAAAAGTTGAAGACAAAGCCTCATAGTGTCGCCTTTCCCGCAATGTTCTCCTTTGGGAGGAGGCAGAAGGATGGCTTCATAATGAAACACAATCGCTGGTGAAGGAGAACTGCCTATGTGCTCAATAATGACTTTTCTTTGACACTTTCCACAGCCCATTTCCATGTTTATGCTCAACTCTGTGCTGTTATCAAGTGAAATTATCACATCAGTGAATGCGAATCACAGGCTCCTGATGGTGCTGAAGATTTATTCAATTGGAATACAAAGATTACAAAAGGCCAATGAGCATCTCCTGAGACTGTAATACTCACACCTTCACTTCCTCACACTTTCCTTTGCGTTTTCATTTTTCTCTCGCGATTCCTTTCTTTCTCTGCTCGACTGAGTGGGAAAAATATATCCATAAAGTCATTTCTTCAGCATTTACCCTCCACCATCTATTCATACTGTCTACATTTCGGCGTTGATTCGTCTTCACTCGATATGCGCAAACATGCATTGAAAATCAATCGAATTTTATCACGATGTGCTTCAAATTCAATCTGAAGCCTCTTTGGAGCGCCTGTAATAAAATTTGAAGGGCTGCCTTTTGTCTGCGGCACGCAGGAGAATTGGGAATTTTTATCCCACCTTCCAAAAATTCACGGAAGCTGAGAAACACTTAAAGCGCGAGATAGTAAAAGTAAATAAATGATGCATTCAGTATATTGCCAACGACCATTATGAGAAAATCAATTTCCCATAAATTATTCGCGGTAATCTGTCTAAAAAACGACACGAAGAATCAATGAAAACTTCACCCTCACGAAGAAGTTTGTAGTTGGAAAAGTTTATGAGGTGAAAAGTGAAAAGTGAAGTTCAATAATGATTCCCCCTAATTCAACTAATACTGAAAATGTTTTTCCGAGACTGCTGTATTTAATCACCAACCTGTTGTGGAGTTCACATTATTAAATTTTCAGGTAGTTTAAGAGAGAACCAATTAAATGCATTATTTTTCATTTACTAAGAGTCTTTACGGTGTTTACATTACCTTGAGTGCTCCTGACCTACAAAGGTATACAAATTCAACGCATTGATCACTTAAGGTTAAAATAATAACATGATTTTTTGGGAATGAATCCAAGTTTTGCTTTTCTTATGTAGAGCTTATGTGAAACGCTAATTATAATTTAATACACTCTGCTTTCTCTCTATATCAGTGAGATTAGAGTCAGTTACTTAATGGCTCTCGTAAGCGATAATTTCATTTCAAATATATTTCTATTACAGTGCGACTTGCATTTAGAGATAAAACAAAACAAAATGTCGGCAAGCGATCTTATTTGAACTATATATATTCATATTGAGACACAGTTATTTTAATTAATAACAATGCTCTTTTGACCTATTTATAATATGTGTTTCCGTAAACTGTCTCGCGTGATTCTGCGAAATCAGAACATTTCTGCCCTTCAGACTTGGCAAATATTTACTTTAGCCACATTGAGTAAAATTTGTCGGAATGATTTGTAAAGAGTCAATTAAAAATAATTAATGTGGCATAAAATGCTTTCCCTTTCTTTTTTTAATCATCTTTACCACTTTTCAAGATCACGAGTCAAGAGGCCAGAGAATATTATTTTCACATCATGTGACTTTATCATGCCGCTGCTCTGCTTTGACCCAAAGACTGCAGAACAATTCGAGGGAGACTTGTCAAGTGAGATTGAGCCTCTCAACTCATTCCACTCAATAGAGCAGTTTAATCGATATCAGGGACTTATCCTTCTAGCGTGGAACCTATCGATTTTCACCCTATCGAAAATTTCAATTGCTCCTCATCCCACGAACACGCTTTCCAGCGTCTTCGATGGGAGTTTCGGAAGCGAAGATATTTCACGAACTTGCAAATTTGAAAGGAAAAACGTGTCACACTCTCTCCACAGCATCACAACTCCCCGCCAGCGTGGAATCTGAGCATCTGTGGCATCGAGAATAGTGGCCTCGTTCGAGAGGATAGTTTATGTGCCCAAGGAAATGTCTATACAGTCTATACGTCTTCGTTTTCTGATAAGACCACGACTTATCGTGGCTTCGTCACACGAATGTAAAGTCGCGGCATCGACTTGGATGTGCATTTGAGGCGTATCTTATCGGGGCCGAGATTCGACGTCCCAACCAAATCCGGAACATTGAGATGGGAGTGTGAGACTGACCTATGAGTAGTGAAAAAAGTACAATCGCATGACGATTAAAAGACGCCCTGACGGGTCACCCCAGCCATAACAATCTCATTTTAATTAAACCCGAGTTAAGATTGGACGACTTCTCATTCATTTCAATGTACAAATCGTAAACAACAAGTGCCGAATGTGTGAGATTTTCACCAAATTATCAGGGGAAGAGTCAGTCTCATAAGATCCGCTTATGTGGAGTGTCGCAATCGGATAGAGCTTGGGCTCCAGTGACCGCGAAACAGCATCTCCCAGTGGGCTTTCAGTGAAAATAAGGTGGATTCCATTTCACCGCTCAAAGTGTGATAGTTTGCAATAAGAGAACGTGTCGAGAGTGAAGTGTTGGGTGAAAATCATCACAAATGACCGGAAATGGAGTGGTGGGGGTCTCTTCCTCCCCAATTCCACCTTCACGCTTCAGGACGTGCAATTTCCCCTATTGCACTGCGTTCGGTACGTTTTTCCCGGTTCCGTCTGCGACTGGCACGTGAGATCTGTGCAATGGATAAAATTAAATTTATTCATCTTTCCACCAGCAACTCACACCATCAGTTTTCACCTTCTTTTTTCACAGTGGCATCCCTCGGATACTTTATCATTGGAAACTCGATTGCAGGGTCAAGTCACGCCATATTTTTCCTCCTTATGGTAATTCTTTCTGCCCTATTCGCCGGATATTAAATTTGAGGGGGTTAATAGCGAATTACGCTGCACAGAAATGAGTTGGATGCAGAGAATATGCACATAATCGAATTAAATGAAAATATTACATTTAATTAGCTTCCTTCAATCTAATTAACCTGATAATTTTGAAAATATATACACTGAATGCCGTAATTTAATATCGATAATTATTGATTCCTGTAGGAAAAAGTATCTAATTGAATTATTTTCACTTGCTGAGATTTATATTAAAAGTTTGTGAATTTAATTGCAACTTGAGTGAATTGAGTGTTAAAAAAAAGTATTGTTATTAACCCCTCGATTGAAAAACCCATGGAGATTAACTATGCATTTTCCCATTCAACATTTACACTCTGTGCTTCATTCTGGCATTCTCTGCCTTCTCACTAAATTGTATTTTTGCAGGAAGATCCGGACGTGAATCTGTTTTATGTAATCGCCGCTCTGTCTTTTGTGGCCACAATAACTCCGCTCGTGGTGTACAAAATGCTAAATAGATTGAGTCCCAAGTCCTTTCTCATCCTCGCAGCACTCTTCGCCAGTCTGTCATGGATTGCACCTCTGGTTGGGTGAGTAAAATAGAGATTAGGAGGATAAATCGATGAGTGATGCATGAATTAGAGCGTGAATTAATATCCCAAATGGATACCGTGTAGAATAAATTTTTGGTCTGAAATCATAATTCAAATGAAAAAAGCGTTGCACATCAATTTATGAGCATTCAAAATGGACTTTCTATTCTATTAATAATTTATGGACAGTCTCAAGGGTGATTAATTGAATGAAATTGCATTTGTAGGGAGAGTCTTTATTCAAATTTATCGCTTCCACTGTTCTACACCTTCATTTGCGGACGCCTTCTGGCCGGTCTGGCGGTGGGAATTTTTCACTTCCTCGTCCCCATCTACCTGGAGGATCTCATGGCTAGTGGCTCATGCAAGGACACGCGTCTCCTCATCGACAACGTCATCTGCACTCAATTTGCCATCGGAGTCCTTGCTCAGTTCGGAGCTGGTGAGTGGGTCAAGATTATTGTACCTGTGCAAGGCTTTGCAAACGATAAAAACGCGCTAATTGAAGTGACTGAACTTCAATATTATTAAGTGTTCAGTAATTTAGGCAAAAACCGTTAATTAATAAATAATTTAATGTCTCTACTTTAATTAACTACACTGCAAATTCAATGCTTTTTTTGGGTCTTCTTTAACATGACTTGAATGTCAAACGACTGCATGAGGTCGGAAGCATTTTATCAAATTCATAGTGCTCTTTTGCTCTTTAGTCTTTACACTTGGAAATGCTCTATTTGACCTCATACCCTTCCTCTGTATTTGCCCATTCATCCGCTTCTTGAACGAATGACTTTGCAGCCCCGACTGACGTCCGTTGCTCGGGTTCGATCGGAAACAGTGGAAAAGGTTATTGCTGACAAATGGAAAAGTGAACTTCTCGTTAGAACTCTTCTCTCTGGAAATTCACAGTTGAGAGACTTTTTTCTCCCGCCTCCGCAAACCTAATCGGACGGGGATTAGCCCAGAGACTCGGAGGACTGCGGAATGTCACTGATTTCATTTTCCTCCCACTCGGGCAAAGCGGAATGGAATAATTAATGATTTATTTCCCGAGTTGTGGTGGAATGCCTTATTTTTTTCTGGTCCATTTTGCTTATAATTTTTTTTTCCCTTGTGCGGTTGGAATTTTCACCGCGCTTCCGACATTCACAAATCAAAGCTAATCCAAGTGGATGTTGCGACGAAGCTTTCTCACTCACCATCTTTCCAGCAGGATATCTCCAGAGTAGCATTTCAATCCACCTACTCTCCCTCATTCCGGCCATCCTCATCGCCATCGGACTATTTTTCATTCCCCAATCGCCGAGATATTTGTGCAATGTGGGAAAGAGTGAGGAGGCGAGAGAAATTCTTCAGCTGTTCCGGGGATCGCTGAGAAACTGTAATGACACCAAGCAGATTGACGTCGATATTGATTTCTGGTCGAGCAAACAGGACCAAATTGCTTTTGGGACCATTTTCGAGAGTGTCAACAGTATAAAATTGCTCTTTCCAACACTTGGACTCATTTTTTGGGAGCAGATGATTGGAATTGTCGTTATATTCTTCTATTTAATTCCCTGCCTTCATCACTTGCGTAAGTTTTCCCAGGAAAAACATTTATCGTTTGAAACAGTATGGCACTCAAACGGACTTCTTCATTCCGTTTGAATGCCTTAACTTGCAAATTTGCTACATTATACATTTTCCCTTGAACTTCCAGATGACGGAAACACAGGAATGACAGAAACTCTTTTAGTGACAATTGGTTTTGTCATCGGAACTATTCTGGCCACTTTCATGCGCTGCAGAATCAACTACAAGTGTCTACTAATGACATCTGCATTTATCATGGGTGTCCTTCTAATTGTCATTGGGCAGAACGATCATGCCCAGAGAAGTACACATCGCTCGAATCGGAACTTTGGATATTTCCCGGCAGCGTGCTTTTCCGTCTTCCTGATGCTCTATGCGTTTGGCTTTCGCAGGAGCGTTTCAATCTATCAGCATCAGCTGATCGAGCGCAAGAAGCTCCTTCTCTGGCGATCCCTAAGCGTGTCGATTGCTTGGGCGACTGTCACCTTCATCTCCTGGATCTTTGCTTACGGTTGGCCAGTGGTTGGTCTCGGATGGATACTGATCTTCATTGGGAGCATAAGTCTTCTGGCTGTGATTTTTATACTGGCATGTGTTCCAAGGATAGAAAATCAAGGGAGTCCGAAGGAAGAATTTTTGGATAACTTCGACAATGTGTCTCTAAACAACGCTGCATAAAACAACCTTTGGTAAATTAAGGCGACTTTAATATTCAAATATTAAACATCGAATATTAACAGTTTGCTGAACAAAAGTTTTCACATTATATCTTTTTTTTCCATGAAGTTAGTGACATCTGAATGCTGCGTCACAGATATTTTTTTACACATAGGTTTTAATAAAATGACACAGTAGCTTTGGAATGAAGGTTAAACTACATGTATACACAGGATTTATATTTTAAAATCTCATTTGCTAACACATCTTTCTTACTCAAGGCAAAAAGAAGTTTCAGATCTTAAATTACCTTATATACAAAGAATAATCAAAACATCAGACCGTCACTTGTGTAGTCTGAGAAAGAATTGTAATGACATCCTTAAAGTTCCATTTGATTTAGCCTATTTAAAGTTTAGGTATCTTGACTTTCCTCTTGATAATATGTACATATATATTTTTCTCTCTTAGATATAGGAATTATACTTACGTTTCACAATCTTAAGATGTAAACAGTAACTTACCTATATATTTTTCTATCAATATCAGTTAGTTTTTAATGTACATATACTGAAATTAGCCTTAAAATCTCTCAATGTAACACATTTAGTTTTATTTTCCCTCGGTTAATGAAACTCTTTGAAGAAGTTTACTCTTCATTTATCGAACTAGAGACAATTTTCTAAATTCTTTTATCATGTTTTTTTTATGTTATCAGTGATAAAAGATAATTACAAATAAATCAATTAAGAGTTCAATATGAGAAAATAATCATGTAAAGTTGATCTCTTAGGACAAATGTTTATAGGTACTCAAGGAATTAAACAATTTCCACGCTGCAATTTCTATAAATCTCTTTACGACAATTTTCTACCTTCTATTTGGGATCTAGAATTCAGAAAATTACCCTGTTTCGATCCTTTGTGCTTGAGATCTGTCATCTTTTGAAGATCAATCCTAGATGGCCGAGTATGTGCGTCTAGCATAGGTGAAGCCGTCGTCTCCTTCGGAACTCGTGCGAACTTGATCAGAGATTCTGGGTGACTTGCTGTCCGGGCGTTGGCGAAGTCGTAGTTGCGCCGCCGGAAGTGTATCCAAACGTGGACGTTTCCATCACAAGCGGATGACAGATCTCGTAGACGGCGCTCTTGCTCAGCGAGTGTCGTCCTCCAGGACTTGAGGTGGAGGTGACGCTGGGCGCCAGAGAGCGTCACCGACTGTCGGAGAGCTCCACAATGGGATCACTATCGTCGCAGATGCTCTGAGCATTGGCGCTGGGCGAGATACTTGGCGTCCTTACCTTCACCTGTGACATGTCCGAACCACGGCGACTCGTGGCAGTGTTGGGTCCAGGTCCTGCACAGAAGCATCTGCAGATGATGCGCTTGAAGGCGAAGCGGAAGTCCTTGGAGAACAGGGCATAGATCATGGGATTTACTGCGGAATTGCAATAGCCAAGCCAGAAGATCACAGAGAACAACACCGGATGAATGCACTCGGCGCAGAAGGCGCGGATGACGTATACAGTGAAGAAGGGCAGCCAGCAGAGGATGAACAGTCCCACGATTATGGCCAGTGTCTTGGCGGCTTTTGTCTCCATGCGGAAGCGCTTCACCTGCGCCTTGATATTCCTCTTGCCCATCTTCCGGCTCGTGCGCGGCGAGTTGAACTTCCCCGCTTCCTTCTCTATGTCCGGCATGGACTTCACCACCTGCAGGAAGCCGTCCTTGCTGCCGCGGAAGATCTTTGACGCGCTCGTGTCCTTGCCGTTGGAGCTGTAGTGGACAGCGTAGAGTGCATTGGGGTTGGCATTCGTGGGACTGGCGAGATTCTCCGAACTGGGATAGCTCACTGAGATCTTGATCTTCTCGTGCTTGTTCCTTGTTGAAAATCGCGAGTGGCGATCTGGTGAGGCACTCACGTTCGTGGATGTGCTGTGAGTGCTGCCATTGCTGTGGGGTGATTCATGCAGATTTGATCCTCTGCCCCGGTGAATTCTCAACGTCAGACGTTGCTCATCAAACCGATTGCCAATGCCTTTGGAACCTGCCAGAGAGAAAAGATGAAAAGGCATTAAATTAAATTCATTTGATTTTCAATCTTCTTCTTTCCATATTGCAATGGTTCTCTCTGTGAAAAGCTAATTCGCCCGCCTCCGGAGGTCGAGTGAAAAGGAACGTTTTGGTATTCTTTCACCTGCCCGAAGCAACTGATTGAATAAATTGGCTTGAAGTGGCTGAATGAGAATATGCCTGAAATATTCATTGCGCTCTCTAGACAGATAATAAAGAACTCTCAATGGCTCGAGCAATAAAACATTTTATGCAAACACAAAAGACACTCAACAAAGTATATTTCCTTTTCCGAAAACAATTTCGCGTTATTGTTGGGCTAATTTCATCGACAAATTTGATTGTATATGAAGGATCGAGACACATTTCGCCTAAAAATAATGGATATTGATTTGAAGGATCAACTTTGCCAATAAAGATATTTCACAGTTGTACTCATAAAAGTTCAAACTATACTTCTTGCTAGTTTGAAAATGGAACATGATAAATTGATTATATCCATCATCACAGTGTTTTATTGCAAGAGCGAATAGTGTATATCAAACAATTGATTATAAGTTCGCAGAAGTTTCACTTCATTTGTTCAATAGAATAGTGTAATGCGAATTATATAGATCCTCAAAGTTCACAACTTCTCCCTAATGAATTGCGAACTGTATCCTGTCGTATGTATAGTAAACAGAGGATGAATGAGTAGTGAAGCTCCACTAGCAAGTAGTTCTTGTCGAATGAGAGAGAGAAAAAAAAATGAGTGATGTATGCTTTCTTATCTCACTTTAAATCTATCAATTGTACTTCAACGAAACGAATGCATTGCAGGAGAAAACTGACATAACATTATTTCAGTTTTCTTTCCCAACACGCCCCTCATTCCATCTTCCAAAACTTTGGCGAAGAACGAAAGAAATCTGTCGGAAAAATTTCTCAGACAACAATTTATCAATCCTGACATCACAATTGACTGCTTCTGTTCCTGCCAGTGTATCTGCGAAAGGAGTCAAGTGAAGTGACAGGCCGATATTTGCCATCATCATTATCTGTGGCCTCTTCCATTTGTCTGAAGAGGATGTTTGTGGACGACCAAGGACAATAATCCACAGAGACTTACGTGCTGAAGTGCTGAACCATATCCACCGTCGAGGGGATCGAGGCGCGTAACAATTTCAAAAGTCAATCCTCCAGATAGTTCATGTTTATTGATTGTCCTATCGATGACCCAGGAAGATGAGGCAGTGGAGTGGATTCACGAATGAGTGCCATTAATTACTCTCCTCTCGAGACATCCAGCCAGAGGTGCCTTTTAGAAGCCCTCTCCCATTACACATAGTTGACCTTTTGCCACCATACACAGAAGCGGAACGAGAGGAGCATTTCACTTCCTCGCACGTTCAAGAAGCCACTCCCCGTGACAGAGCCTTTTTTCCATCCTTTGCACCACAGTATTTACTCTCTCTCTAGACACATTGATTTAATTCACACCCTCTCCCTTGCAATCCCTTATTGAATTTACACCCCAGAAGAGAAAACAAACACATAATTACACTGCAGACTGGAGGATGATGGACAGAAATTGGAATGTAATGACACAAATAACAATTTGGGCTGGGGAGACAAAGTTCAGCCACACAAGTCATACAGCGCCCCAGGGAAGTGTCTCCCAGTGATTCAAGTTATTCACTCACCAACCGAGATTGCGTCATAAACCTGGAGCAAGTCCGGATTGGGGACTTCCTACATGCACTCTGGGGAAAAGTTGAGCGGCAAGAACTTAAATTGCAAAATCAAACCTGTTGAGATTGTTGGGAGAACAAAGAGTGGCCATTACGTTTTATGGTAATGGAAGATTGGAGAGCAGCCTCTGAATACTAATTAGGTCGTAAGCTAAATGGTTTTATCTATTATGCTCTTAGACATATTTTTTAAACACACAGATAATATAGATTACATCATGAGAATTTATACCGAGGTTTTAATGTGATTATGTATCCGAATTCCTAAAGCGTATAACTTATGCGAAGGGTAAAATAGAATTTTGAAGGCTCCCGGTATTCGAATACATGACATTTAATCTATTGCATTTCGTGATTCCTTTGATTTATTCGATTCTCAAGGAGTAGTCATGGTTGGATTCGTTAAATGAAACCCTAAAAGCTTTCTCAATTGATTTAAAATAAGACCATCAGCGAATGATGCAATAGCAAATCCGTCTCTTTACTGGACTTTATTGAATTTTACCATCGTAAATGCAACGCATATGTGCTTATGTACCAAGTAAAACGCTTACAATTGTATTTGAAAGTCATGACGAGACTGCTGGTCTGTCTTCCGAAGAGGTCCAAGGCGTGTGCTTCAAATTCAATTTCCGTGATATGAGAAAACCAGAAATGGAGTCAATTTTCACGGTGAAATCCAGTTCTTCATACCCTCCACTTTGCATGCGAAGCGTCTGGGCGGTGAGTATAAAACCCGAGGGAGTCTCTCTGGGAAATCACAGTTGAGTCTTGTGCTTTCAAGTGAGTCAAGTCAGAACTACTACCCGAAAACAACAATAACCATGAAGGCTATTGTGAGTGGGGGAAAAAGTTGGCGATGTGTCTTGAGTTGCTGAAACTGTTTCATCTCCTTTCAGCTGTTCTTCGTCCTCTGCCTGTTCGCCGTGTGCCTGGCCGCCCCTGAGCCCGCTGTGTACCACACTTCTCGCGTCATCGGCACCCCTCTGTCCTACGTGGGCACCCCCCTCGCCTACAGGACCCTCTACCCAGGACACGTCGGATACCGCACCTATGGCGGCTTCTACCCCTACAACTACTACTACTAAACCGCCGCTGACCGATTCTTCCGACTCATCACTCAGACCTCTAATGAACATCTCGTAGCGTTTTGGTAGAATAAACTTTCAAGTCATTGAAGCAACGTCTTTTGCTTATGTGGAGCAGCACGAAGGATATTTTCTCAGTATTATCCTGAACATCTCAGAGAGTGAGTGGCTGCAAAATCAATATAAGTTGTATCGCTTTTCCTGCTGCTCTCCCATTGTTTTGCTTCCCCTTTTCGATTCACCCTCTATTGATTGCTTTTAAGATGGTAATAAGATGCTCAAAAGAGGCTCTTTGTTCCTCACACAATCAGAATTTGGGAATAGTTTCTCAAAATGACTTTTTGAGGCTGGCACGAATTGGGACAAATGATAAGGAAAAATTCAAACTCAGAAATTTAGGATGCGACAATTGGAATAAATTATGATAACACAATGTCCTCATATGCATATAAAATTTTATTTCATTTTAAAGCTCTAATAATTTAAACCAATTTCAAATTTTAAATTAGAGTTTGAACATCACACTCTGAATTCCAGTGAGGAATAATTTCAGATACAATTTTCTCCGAACTGAATCTCAATTCTTCTTCCCCAATTATTTTGCTATTTTCACACAAATTACCCTTCAACAGAGATTTCTTTTATAAGATTGATTCGTAGAAGAGTAGTTTGATTTCCATAACATAACAGAAAAAAGTCCATTTTATTGTTGACAAAAATGGGAACATCTGCGTTTGGAATGTATTCATTGAATTCACTGTGTTTCCCATCGCACGTAGAAAGGGGAGAAAAAACGTTGAAATTCTTTCGCATTATGTCCCAGAATCCTTCTCATTTCGTATTCATTTCGCATTCTGACATCTCTCCATCTCCCCGGCTATTTATCCCTTGAAGCCACATTTTCAATTGATTGGCACAATCGAGTGGTGTTCGTTGGCGTTCAATTTAGACACTGCGAGCAGGAATGAATGAATTGAGGTCACTGACAACGCGCGGGTTCTTTGCCAGCTATTTATGATTGACATCGATTGTGTCCTGGGACTGAGCTCCATCCGCTCGGAGGCCTCTTTCATCCCATTACCACACCTCATTTACTTACATGCGGAAGCATTCAATGTGAATTCAATATTTCTCTCGTTTGTCCCATTACTTCATCTCCGGCGAAAGTCCGGGGAGAGGAATTTCCCTGTTCTGGGTTTTTCTTTCGAAAAAAAAGGGGATTGCTTCCCCTCTTCGTCCCTTGTGCGCCGAAGAAACGGCCAGAAAAAAATAGAAGCAATCAAATAACTTTCACTAACAGCCATTGTTGTAAATTCGCTCTATTTCCCTGAAAGCATCCTCCTAAATCAGTTGTGAAACACTGAGATATGAAACTTTAAGATGAAAAAATATCTTCCCCAGCTCAATGCTGAATCACGACTTATCGGACTTCTGCAAATGCTACAAAAAAAAACTTTCTTCGACTGTGTCGCATTGTAGTCCATTTATCAAATCATTTGACATTTATATTCTGTGTTTGCTTGGTCGATTTATATTTCTGGACTTTGTATAAATTTTGTATGGTGGGCATTCTCGTCTTTCAAACCTCAATGCATAAAGATTCTCCATAGTTGGAAGTTTGACTAAAAAGCAACCCCCGGAAAGCCGCAAAGGTTATGGAATATATTTTCTGAAATTATCGATTTATCATTCAATGGGAGTTGAAGCAAGATTATTTAAAGTTTTTGTTCTCATAAAGAACATAGTTTAAGTTAAGTAACCAGTTTAATAGACTTCTAATTTATTGCTGTTTGTAGGTACTTTTGATAGTCACTTTATACCTACAAATCGCTCAAAACTCAATTGGAATAGACGAATTGTCTTAATGTATTGTTCACACATCAACAGAGTTGCATGCAAAAAGGCGTGTAGTGCCACAAATTTACCTGCAATTTGTCTAAGGGGGACAAAATTAATTCACTGAACAGCGTTCATAATTAGATGGTGGCGTTTAATGGGGATAGAGAGTGCCGGAGTGACTCATGAAAATGCGCTCCCAGAAGTGCCACTAACTGGATTCATGTGAGGTGGAAAATGCTCCATAACAATCAAATATAATGACGCTGGTGGTGCCACAAATGAACCCCATAGATGGTGTTATGTGGCCTCTCGAAAGC